GTTTGTGTGTGTGTGTGTGTGTGTGTGTGTGTGTGTGTGTGTGTGTGTGTGTGTGTGTGTGTGTGTGTGTGTGTGTGTGTGTGTGTGTGTGTGTGTAGAGTGCATTCCAATGGTTTCTCTGGCAGTCAGCATGTCTGCTTGTAGTTATAGAGTTTCTGCTTTAACCCGCCTCTTTCTCTCTCAGACACAGACATGCACAGACACACACACACACATACATAAAGCTCGATAAACAGAAATCTAGATGTTGACAAATAAAAAACGGGATTGTCTCTTTAGCTGTCTCACCATCCCTCAGTCTAGTTATGCGTTTTACTCAAAAGCAGGCAATAATGTGAGTTTTAAATGTTGAGTTTTTCCAAATCATAATCATGTCATATGACCACTAGTGGTATCTGCTAATAGCTTTAGTTTAATTTGCTGTTGTTTATGGAGATATTCATCTCTGAAACTTCTGCCAAGAAACCCAGTACAATGGATTAAGAAATACATTGTTTTTGGCTATGTGGAAAGAACTCAATATATTTTCATGTAGTTCTTTTTTGGCGGCTCTTAGTTATTTATTTATCTATGAATCAGGTTAAAATAGTACGAGAAAAATAAAGACCTTTTTTGAACATTAAAGCATGGAAACATGTCCTAGAGGAACAACTACAAATATGAACAAGAACATTTGCAAAATATGGCCGCTTTAAAACCTGGATTTTTTTTGTCTGTCTGTTCTTTGTCTGCCAACAAAGAAAAATAATAATAAAAAGGTTATTTCATTCAAAAATTGTGACTATAAGGAGAGTCATGATTACCGTTGGCAGTTGTACAAAAAAGTTATAATACATCACTTGAAGTGTCGAGATGTCAAACTGAATCATTTGGACTTTTTTTGTGGATAATGGATGAGAAAAGGGAAACGTCTCTAAGATGTATTGTTGAAGCAAGGGAAAATGTGAAAGGGATACTTCTCCAGTGATGACAGAGTAAGTGTTGGTGCTGCGGAGAAGTACAGCTAATATTTATTCAGCTGGACCCCCCTCCCCCCACTGGTTTCCTTATCATCGTTTAAGGGAAACTCCACCTTTTACCACAATCGACTCTACCTGTGAGTGTTTCCCTGTTACTCAGTAATCAGTGACCCTCTGTGTCCTCTCTCCAGCAGTCCTGGTCGGGCTCCAGCAGAGCAGTGAGTCCTCTGGTGGTCCCGGGGGACTTCAGCCAGCCGGCCAGCCCCTTCGGCTGTCTGGATAACTCTGCTGCCAAACACAAGCTGGGCCTGAGACACAAAGCCTGCAACAGGAGGAAACACGTCTCTGTAAGACATTAATGCAAACACACAAACATCAGCAAATACACTCTCACAACTCAATACTGTCAATTATCAAAGCGGTTTGTTTAAACCTTGGTCCTATCATAACATTTTACTGACCAATTTTAAAGGTCACCTATTATGCAAAATCCACTTTTTCATGTCTTTTATACATAAACATGTGTCCCCTCTGTGTAAAGACATTCTGGAAAAAAGATTCCCTCTCTTTTTTTCATCCTGATCCATTTAAAGACCTGTCTGAAAATGAGCCGATCAGATTTTGGCCACTGTATGATGTCATAATGTTTTTTTGGCTTGTGTAACCATTATCCAAATATATATATATATATCTGAGACCTATAATATATTGATGAAAAACAGTATATTAGGGGACCTTTAACTAATATTTTGACTAATGATGTTGTTTTTTTTCATTGGCTAACATGGGCTTTTCTTTTTTAACTTGTATGATCATTTTTGTATCAATGTCTCCATCTTCATTGAGAAAACTAGGATTTAGTCAGCATATTTTGCATGTCAGTGTTCTTAATCCCCAAGTCAATGGGTGTTTGGATAAATACCTGAATGAAGCTCAAGAGATGTGTACTTTATGTTCTACAATATAGAATAATTCAGGAAATAACTTGGAGCTTCAACTTGTCTTAAAAAAAGCAGTTGCCAACAAATAGCTTAATTAGCTTGATTGGCTATTTGCTATTTGTTAAAAAAAAAACAGTGAAACTCATCTACTCAGGGACCCTGAAATAATTATTTTAAATCCTAACGTTAGCTTTAAACTTATATAAAAGGTACAGTATCAGAGTAAGTAGGAAAGTATCATAAATGTTTTTCTCAATAACTTTCATATAATGGAGAAATCACATTAGCTTTTTGTCGATGGAACCAGTGTGATGCAAACTTTTGGGTTGGATTACTTAAACACGTAATTCCTGCCATAGTTTATTGGACTTCTCCTAGAATAAGTTGAAGCATTGACTGACGGATCCTCTGCATCCAATCATAACATGATAGGTATACATGATGTGGTAATGATCATGTTGCCTGATTGTGCCAGCGATAGAGCCAGTGTCTTAAGCACTTAGAGCAGATTTTGCGACTGAAATGTGCCTCTTTTAGTTTAGGACAATCATACCAGTTCATGGTCGTAACTGATAAAGAGTATTTCTTTGTAAATGTTTTGTGTCAATGTAGAGGCTGGAGTTAAAATCAGAGGGAGACTCTGTGTTGGACGGGACACTGAACGCCTCCATAACAGCAGATTCAGAGGAGCAAGATCAAGAGAATCCAGCAGAAGGTCAGAACACTTCCTGCTCTGCTCGATTCTACTCCATCTTTTATTTTTGTATCAAAATGGTTGACTCTGCATGTATGGAAGATTCTCACTGCCAGTGTTTCAAATTCAATGATATAATCAAATTAAAATGATTTGTGTTTAAATAAACTATGCCCTGATTGAAAATATTAAATAATTATTATAATGATTAATTATTATTATTTAAGAAAAAAATGACTTTTTTCAATTTTAATTTTGTCAAACATCTGCCGCACAAATAGGATAATGTAACTTTATTTAAGAAAATGATTTCACCGTAACATTGGCATCGATACTTGCTGCCAGTGTATCATCGGCTTGACCTCTGAGACCTTTGCCTCTGTCTGTGGTCCAGGTGTAAGAGCTGATGAGCTGAAACCAAAGGAGGAGAGGGAGGAAGAGGAGGAGGAAGAGGAGGAGGAGGAGGAGCAGCCAAAGCATTCCAGACGCTCCCTGCTGAGCGATGAGGAGGAGGACGAGTGTGAAGTAGAACAGGAAGTTTCTCACGGCCCGGACACTTCCTCTCTTACGGAGCTGAGACTCCCAGAGGAGGAATCCCCGGACACCAGGCCCCTGCCCTCCTCCGGGCCCGGCTCAAGAGCCTCCTCTCCGGACAGTCCCAGGTGATTAGACATCATTTCCCCCATGTTTTCTCCACTTCCTGTCTGTCTCTGTTTCCTCATTCTAACAATCTGACTCCTTGATATCTGCTTACAGAGCCACGCCGGAGCCCCCTGCTGGTCCCAAAGAGTATCTGCTCGACCCTCTGAGCATCACCTTTGGAGCGGAGGAGGTTGACTCGAGCGGAGAAGTAGATGGAATCCAGGAGAACAGGGTGGAGGAGGAGGAGGAGGAGGAGGAGAGCTCCTTCTTACAGGAAGTGCTGAGCTCCCTGAAAACTCCCCTTGCGTCTTGCTCACTGATGACTGAAGGGGTCGACCTGGAAATAAAGGAGGAGGTGAAGGAAAGAGAAGTCGTGGAGATGGAAGGAGAGGAGGTGGAGGAAGAAGAAGAGGAAGAGGTGGTGGAGCCTGTTGGTTATCAGGCTGCTCCTGTTGACTCCATCCTGTCACATCAGTCTTCACAGGAAGAGGAAGAGGTTTCCACTTTAAGCACTGCTTATTGTCAAGATGTTGAACAAGAGGAGAACATGGAAGTTAAGGAAGAAGCAGCCTTAGAGGAAGAGGAACTAGTGGTGGAAGAAGTCAGTCAATACTGCGTATGTATCTCTTACTCATTTCTCAAAATGGTGATTGTTTTATATCGAACACAATGGGATGATATGCTTGGTCTACTTTGTTTTATGTCTTGTCAATGACTTAAGATCACGTAAATGAACATATTTTGCCAGGTCGCAGGTGTTTTTCTAAAGAGCATTTGAGGTGTTTTGTTGTTGTAATACTTGTTTCGGCCACTAGTGCAACACTACACCATAGAGGTTTCTCAATTCTTAAATGTCCCCTCCTCGACTCCTATCCTCGAGACTTGGTGCCACCCACAGGAGATGCGAGCAGAGGAGTCGAGGAGGGGAACTGAGGAGAGAGGAGGGGAAGCAGCAGGCGGTTAGAGAAATGAGAACTCCTCTCCTCTGAGCGGTCATTTTAAAGAGACGTCCATCAATGATGACAGGAGGCACAGCAGCCCTCTGTCTGATGGACAGATGTGTTCATGACCACTTATATATTTACTTTGATTCATTCACAGTGCGGTATAATGAGACAATAACAGGCTACAGATGCGGACACACACACACACACACACACTCGCACGCACACACACACACACACACACACACACACATATATTTATATAAATATATACAATTTCAGAATCAAAAGTATGATAGCACTCTCATAATAACACAATCAGAGACTGGTGTATTCCCCCCCCCCCCTCTCTGGTCGCTACAATGGGGAATTGAAATTACGGGCCAAACGTTTTATTTAGTTATATTACAAGTATTAAAAGTAAGCATAGGACACCAAACCAACCTAGACCCGTCTGTCCGCCGCATCTACGCACTGTACAACACACACACCTACACACTGTACCACACACCTACACACTGTACCACGCACACACTACATACTGTACCACACACCTACACACTGTACCACACACCTACACACTGTACCACGCACACACTACATACTGTACCACACACCTACACACTGTACCACACACACCTACAGCTCCTAAAGCATAATCAGGCTACAGCCGTGTATTTTATTATGTGAAGCACTAAATGGTCTTAGAAAGATATCGACTCTTTCTTTGTAGATATCTACTAAACTAAAGCAAATAGGCCTAAAGAGAGTACGCCTGTTATACTGACTGATATATATTATACACACTGCTCTGCTTTCTGCACGGACCTCACAGCTGTTCTCACATCGCGTCGCGATGAAAGCAGTTACTAAAATAATAACCAGGGGATGCATGCAGAGCTGTCATTGGCTGAGATAAGTCCGGCCGTGCGTCACTCCTCCACCGTTCCCGGAAATGCATCCGTGGAGGAGCCGTGGAGGAACCATCAGTGTATCCTCGATTATAGCTCCTCCAGATAGCCTCCTCCTCGATGCTCGGTCCTCGAAGTGCATTTAGAGAAATGACATGTCCTTCAACATGGCGCGCTGAAATCCATTTCCGGGTCACTACCGGAGGACCGAGGATTCGAGAAGGGGACATTAGAGAAATGGGAAAGGGCCCATGTTCTAAACTTTTAGCATTCATGATTCATGAGTTTACATTTTTCTATGTGCTCTGAACACAAGGACCTTAACAGGTGTTGGCAAGTTATTTCATTTTCCTGGCATGCTTTTCTTTGCCTAGAAATGTATCTGAATGATATCAATATACCCTGTAATAATAAGAGAGTGCATAGAGAAATTAAAACTCACCTGGAAAAAAACATCTGACGTTTTATTCCTATTTGAACATGTTGCATATCGGCCTCTTGTGGTCAGAAATAGTATTACAACAACAAACACTAAATATGTGCTCATCAACCGAAATTCACCTGTCAATAAATTTTCTTTCCAATTTTTGGGAAAAAGAGTAATTTAAATTAGGATCCCAGCCAAACCTTTTTTCACAACTGCTCAGAGGAAAAAAAGCTATGAAACCAAATGTTATGTTTTATTGTTATGATTTCTATATTTGTTGATGTCGGTATCATATTAAAACTCCAAAATCATAAACCATTTCGGCCATTTTGGGTGGGAGCAAAATATATTTGTAAACACATATTTGTAACATTGACATACTGTAATATATATCGCCCTGTCAAGTTGTTAAGGAGAGCATGCTAACTACAGATCTACACAACCAGCAGACATGAAGCAACATTAGCATTCCTTCAAGTCGTGTTTCTGTTCACCCAAAATTCATCCTCCTTTAAGCTCTGTTTTTGGCCTCCACCAGAAATATCTGGCTCTTTGGCAACTAAATGCTCCACCTCTCCTTAGCTAACTGTATCCTCTGTGGTTACAAAAACAAATCTCTACTTTCCTTATGTTCCTCTGTGCTTTATTTTCCAGCGAGAAAAGGAAGAGGACGCAGAAGAAGACGATCCCGAGGAACAAAATGATACAGGAAACACCGTAAACAAGGCAGAGGAAGAGGGAAGAGGAGAAGAAGAGAGTGAGGGAGAGGAGGAGGCCATTGAGCTGAAGAAAGAACCAGATGTGGAGGTGGAGGAAGCCGAAGAAGAAGAAGAGAGAGTAGAGGAAGAGGAAGCAATAGAGGAAGAGAGCGACGACGCGGAAGAGATGACGGAGGCGTTTCCTGATGCAGCTCATGATGACATACAGCTGCAGGAGGAAGATGAGGGTGTAGTTGTTGTGGTTGGAGATGATGGTGAAGCGATGGGTGATCAGGTGCATGAAAGTCATGTAGCTTCTGATCAAAGCATAGAAGAGGAGAGGGAAGATGGAGAAGAGAGGATGGAGGAAGTCATAGAGATCAACATGGAAAAATCTGAGCAAGAGGAAGATGGTGAAGCAGATCAAAGTGAGCTAAATCTGCAGGAAGAAGGTGGAGAAACACCACATTCAGACATGAAGCAAGTGGGAAAAGAACAAACAGAAGAAGTTCCTGTCAAGCCTTCTTCTTTGTCTCTCCCTGAATCACACCACGAGCCTCCGTCACCTGAGAGTGGAAGCATCTCTCCCAGCAAGACCTCCACCATCCACATTAATCTACTCTCTCCGAGCTCAGAGAAGGCCCCATCTTTCTTCCCAAAGTCCCCACCTGACACACAGCCCACAGAAGGTGAGACGCCTCAAGAAGCTGAGGAGCAGAACGCAGAAACAGAAGAAGAAACATCTGATAATGTGGAAACAGTAGAAGAAGAGAAAAAGTCAGCTCTCGAGGAGGAAGCTACACTTCCTGTCTCTGTGGAGGAAAAGGTCAACCAGGTGTCCAGCCCCACCCGCTTCACCATCACCCCCGCCTCGCAGAGGTCGCTGTCTGTCGGGGACGCAGAGGAGAGTTCCACACCTCCTTCCTCCCAAACCACATCTTCATCGTCCTCTGACACAAGGCCCCAAGAGGTGGAGGTCAGTAAAGGGAAAGCAGAGCCAGCGAAGGTTGAAGTGGTGTTGAGCCCGGGAAGAGCGAGGAACGCAGGGACCCCCACCACCACGTCGTCATCATCCAATCATCCGCAGACCCCAGCTGTTGCAAGCACAGAAGGTGAGGACGTTAATGTGTCCAAAAGAACATCATGGACGTTTTTGTTTTTGGGTTCTTGATTGGTCTCTGAAATCGAAGTTGCTGTTGTTTTTTGATTTTATTCTTCTCTTTTTCTTTTTTTTTATAATAGTTATGATTATATTATTACGCACTACATTATTACTTGTCTTATTCTTGGTCTTTTTTCAATACAATTTAATTTGTTGATGTATATTTTTTACGATTTCTTTATTTTCTTAAATAATAATATTTTAAATATTCTTTACACAACCAAACAAAGAATCAAACGGAAGATATATGCTTAAAAAATCTATATTTATACATAAATTAAATAACATACATTTGTTGCAAAAACATGCATATGAATTGCATCAGTGTCTGTGTAATATTCTGTACTGGCTCTCTCTGAAACGACCAAATATGTTTTCTTTTCATATTTGAAGGCAATAGAGCAGGATTTAGCATCAGGTTGAATTTACATGTTCTTCTTGAGTTCCAAAGTAACTATTTTCCTTCCACGTTTTATATTAAAGAGTATGTCTGCTGCATGTCAAATGAGGAGAACTCGTCCTTTGGAGTTAAAACGAATCTAAACCACAGACCAACTTTTCCACTCTCCCTCCTACAGAGAGCTCCATGGTGATGGAGGGAAACCCCGACAATCCGTTTGGAGTTCGGCTGAGGAAGACGTCGGCTCTGCCTCGCTTCAGCTCGGAGGAGGAAAACACAGAGGTGCGTCTCCGGACTTTGTTCTTACTATTATACGTTTTGCTTCCAAAATATCCCTAAGCAACACACGTCATTCTTAAAAAGCATTGAAGATGGTCAGTTCTGAGGGTTTCTGCAGGGACATATGGGGGCCCATTTACCCCAGTAAAGGAAAATAAACAAAAAACCCTGAAAAGTCATTATATTTAAAAACTTTCTAAAAAAAATGACCTATAATAATATATCTCAGAATATTGACTCAGGTTCTTAAACTTTCTTTTCACGAAACTGTGTTTCAGGGCTTCTTAACATTTAACGTGTCATACCCACTTAACGGGAAGAAACTCAGCTAACTGATGATATGAACAATTCTTACCTAAACGAAACACAAGGGTAATACCAAGCCAACGCACTTAGCACAGAACTCACTGTAGAAATATTGTATTACTTGTCGGATCTGCACAAACAAGATATCAGATTAAAGCTGAGATTCCACAGATTCCAGAGGTATAAGTCTCATCAGAGCAGCGAAGGCAAACCCAGACAATACGCAACGTAGCTTTACGGAGCCAAAACGGCAAATATGTCTTACCTTTGCTGTTTTTCTGATCAAAAGTTGTGTTCATTTCAAAGTGACACAGAGATATTGGATTAACCTTCAGCAGCGTTTTTATCGTTTTAATGCCATTGAACACAACTTTTGATCAGAAAAACAGCAAAGGTAAGACATATTTGCCGTTTTGGCTCCGTAAAGCTACGTTGCGTATTGTCTGGGTTTGCCTTCGCTGNTGCCTTGATTTACAATATGTTAACCTTCATTATAGTCCTTGACAGCGGTCTGTACTGCTGTATTAACAACGTGTCACATGTTAAGAATTTACAATCAGAATCGAGTATTCAACTAAGCCCTGTAATACAAGTTGTTAGTAGCCTTAAGGGCCTACACAGTTGTTATGCTATACCACATTGCCCTTCACTGGATGCATAATGAGCTGCACTAAACTACATTTTAGCATTTAAAATACCTAGCTATTCTTTTGCGGTTATTTTGGTGAAAGTAACTAAAAAGTAACTAAAGTAGTGTAACTCATTACATTTCAGAGACAGTAATATTGTAATGTAACTTATTACTTTCAAAAGAGAGTAATAAGTATATGTAATATATTACATTTTGGAAGTAACTTGCCCAACACTGGTTGTGGGAGGAATAAGGCAGAATAAACAAGAGCAAGAAACCAAGAAAAGACATCTGAAGAGAACAAAAGTGACACCCAAGGAAAGAAAAATAAACTTGAGAGAGTGTGTGACAGAAATCTTACAGGTGGAGAGATAACCACGTGACACGATAGAGAGGTACAAGCTTTTTTTGGATCCAAAGCAGGGAAAGTGACAGCTTGTTTGTAACACATACGTACCTCTCCAATATGCTTGATCTTCACACATAGAAAATACACACAGTTAAAATGTGCAGCTGAATGACAGATACAGAGAGAGGAAAAGCCGGACAGACAGGAAGACTATTTATGTAAGCAATGCACATTTAGGTCAGTCAGTTAGAAATGTACAAAGAGACAGGAAATATATCAGAGAAAGAGAGGCGGAGGGAAAGAGCAGTCGCCTTCCTTCCCTGGTTTGCTCTTAATGTGTTGCTCTTCAGTTTAATTACACTGCAGATTAGCACATTTAGCTTGCTGCAGTCCCATGAGGACTCTTAGAGATTTGACGGCCTACTCATGCCAACGCCACTAAATATAGAGGTAAAGAAGGAATAATGAGACCAGCATATTGCATATGGTATGTTCGCTTGATGTTCGTCATCAAAACCTTTACTGTGTTCAGGTTGTATCCTATTTAAGCAAATCAGCCCTCACAAGACTTATTAAATCACTGGTTTGTCTTAGTTGCAAACACTGATATAAACTAAGACTTCGGTCATAGTGAAGATCAGCAACAAGTATTTCATC